GGAGACACAGATCATATATGTTCAAATGTCCCCCATAACTGAAGAGTTCGACAGCGCGCAATCGTATACATTCAAATGTCCCCCGTCACCGATGAGTTTGACAGCGCGCAATCGTATACATTCAAATGTCCCCCGTCACCAATGAGTTTGACAGCGCGCAATCGTATACATTCAAATGTCCCCCGTCACCGATGAGTTCGACAGCGCGCAATCATAAACATTCAAATGTCCCCCGTCACTGATGAGTTCGACAGTGTGCAATCGTATCTTTTCAAGGTGTTGCTGCTTTGAAAGCTCTTTACATTGTTTGTTAATTAAATCACAATGGTCTTATCTTTCCCTGCACGCTGACGGGACCCACAGATGTGGCCAGAGACAAAATCAAAACATATGATGCTTCGGTATCCTGAAACACCAAGGAAATGATGACACCACTGAGAAATGAAAGGGAAAAGACAGCATTTAGAAAGATGCGCGCGTGAGAAAAGGCAACCTCAGGAAGGGATGGTATGTCATCCTGTCAGAGCAGCAAGGCAGACTTGACAAGCCCCATGGTGGCTCTAGACCAGCTACAGTGCCTTGCAATGAACCGAAACATCCCAATTTTCCTATTTAAAAAACACCTGCAATCCACCTGACCCTTTTTCCTGGACACCAGTGTGTGCCCAGAGGCCCCCGGCACCAGCTGGACCTCTGTAAGGCTGCCCTCAAGGGCAGGTCATAGACATGGCAGCCCCAGGAAAGTCCATGGGACCAATAGCCTGTAGAAAGCTCGGGGCCAGCAGGGAGAGTGTAGGCAGGAAACAGGGAAGCTACCTGAGTCACTGGAAGGACAGAGCAGGAAGTCAGGGAAAGAAAGTAAGGGAAGAAATAGTAGGGCAGGAATCAGGCCTGGAGGAGGGAGGTGAAGACAGATTCGGTGACTCCCGCCCACCCATGACATGTGCCTTTTTTCTACAGCTTGCTACATGCTCCTGGGCTCAAATGAGGAGAACGCACTGCTCATGGCCATTTCTCCATCATTTCAGACACAGAGAATTCCTTCAGGGCATTGCCAAGAGCCCTCTGTATCATTTCAACTGACCTTTTATCACGTGTGCTCTGAAAAGCCTGAAGGGGCACAAAACTGCAAGGCAGTCCCGCCGTCGTCACTGGCAGTTTATAAGGGCCAGGTGAAGAGTTGACGACCCTACTTGAGGTTCAAGAGGGAACAGTCTTAGGGCACAATTAGTAGGGCAACTAGAGAAGAGGCTCTTGGAGAAGGGTCTCAAACAGAGAGAACTAGTTGATTCTTTGACTGCCTCCTACCGGCATTATCCTGGGGCTAGAGACCCGCAAGAAATGGTAGACTGTCCTGAAAATATCATTTTTTCAGCTCCCAGCATCTTCTAGGAGGCATTCTCCAAGTATCATTATGATCTTTATTTGAAGGGAAATATTCAATCACACATGAGAATTTCATTAGCATTACGTAGCACAGTTGATGTTTTTCCCCCAGCATAATTATTGTTTTTCTTTTATTCTGTTTATAAAATTCCCCTTTTCTATTTAAATCGCTTAAAAATGCAAATTGTACACAGTGGCTTGATGATCTTCTAACCAGGTTGCTGGAAAAAACAACCTAAAATTCTGAGAGTATAAATTAAATTCAGCTTCCTAGGGAAGGATTAGGCTTTACTGAGATCTCCTGAGTGCTAAGAGTGGGTTTAGTTTTGCAGGAAACACAAAGAAAGAGCCTTTCTGCCCATCAATCTAAAAAATACAGACAAGTTGCAATTAGAAAAAATTCATCCACATAAAACCAAAACATCCATTAAAGAAGCCCCCCTCAGCCACTCCCCTGAATTGAAAGTGACACTGGACACGGTCAACAGAAATGCGATTCTTTAACCCAAGAGGTCGAGGAGAAGCAGGAAGCCCAGTGATCTCATGGCGTCCCCCTTCCACTTATTTGAGGGGAGGGGGGATAAAAAGCAGCAGCTGCCCCTCACCACAAGGTCTCTACCGCCACCGACTTATGGGCAGCTCACAATACAGAAGCTCAAATTGATTCTGAACAGCCCTCACTTCAGGGTTAATGCTACGGGCCACCAGAGAGACTGCCCATCCTCTGGACTCTTACTCTGGGACCAAGGAAAAAGATACAGTGTCCTTGATTCTTCACAACTTTGCTCCCTCCCTTCTCCTCTCTTTTTAGAGGAGTTTCTAAGACAGTCACATCTGAGCCTCCCAGAGCTCCTGGAGAGGCCCTTAGAGGTCATTCAGCCCAGCTTCCTCGTTCCAAAGAGGCGGAAACTGAGGCTCACAGAGTGTAAATGACTTGCCCGAGAGCATACACCTAATGTACGGTGGAGCCAGGACTGGGGCCTAGGACACCTGAACCCCACACCACTGCTCTGCTTTGTCTTAGGGATGACCTTTCTTCTTCTGCCATCAGGGGCAGGCAGTGTGAAGCAGCAGTCCCTGCATTCCAAGAAGAAAACCTGCAACTAAATAGAGTGGTGTTCTTGCGGGAAGCTCTGCTGACAATCCTGGTAACGACAGAAACCAACTGTGGACAGACAGAGTCTAACTCCAGCTCTCCCCAAGGAAGCACTCAGGCCTCTGTGAACTCAGGAACAGACAGGTAAAGGGGCATCAGGTGAATGTGTGGGAAGAACCACTTGCACACACAGAAAAGTCCATTTCCTAAAAGTAAATGGTAACCAATGCTCAAATCCCAGTCAGGAGTCAGGAATCATTCAGAAACAAGCCATTCAGTGGCGAGAGGATGATAGATCGCAGGACAATGACAATGAGGCGCCGGAGCTGCTTCCAGGACCAAAATGTGGGAACTGGGACCGACTGGTCAGCCCTCTGGGCCCGTGGTCACACAGAAGGTGCTGGCACCAAGTTGGCTGTGACAGGGAGAGTGAGCCTGGAACTGCACCATTCAGGAGAAATAGCAAACTTCTTTCTACTCAGTCCTCTGAGTGATTATCTAGCTTGTGGGGAAATGCTATTTTTAACATCTACTTGGAAAATACTTTTTATTATTGCAGCACTGTTGAACCTATGTGTTAAAGGACAGATTTAAGACTCTAGATTTAATATTCTTTTTCTCTTTTCAGAAAGGGTCCACTCTGTTACGTTTAACTGAATGCATAAGGGGCCTTCTCCTGTGTATGGGTGTGGCCAGGATTGATGCTTCTGGCTGGAAGGAAAGGCAGTTCAGGCAACATAGAGAGCAAAGACAGTCAGAGGCCCACCAGTATCCTCCCCTCCCCTCTTCTTCCTGCCCAGAACAAGGATGTGATGGCTGTGGCAGAGGCAGCCATTCTGTAACTTTGAGGCAACCCTGAGGATGGAAGCCAAAATCTGAGGACTGTGTAACACACCCACACTGCCTCCTCTGGACTTTTTTTTTTTTTTTTTTTCCATTAGAGGAAAACAAACCCTTACTTAAGTCATTTTTTTCTCTATTATTGGTAGTCAAATACATTTCCTAACTGAAATATGAAACGCATATACACCCTCACTCACCAAGAGGCCCAACACTGAAGAATAAAGCAGGACTCGCCAAAAATTTAAAGAGAAAAGGAACAGCAATAAAAGGCTATTGACCCCAGTTGCACTAAGAGAAATTCCAACTCAGAGATTGCAGTTAAAATAATGGAGAGGAAAACATCCCAAACCAAATTACCCATTTCGCTGACAAGAGAGGCGCTTTATTGTGACCCAGAGGACTGCTTTGGGAGCTACAAATTGAACCAAGGCTTCGGGCAAGTATTTTATAAAAATCATTCTTAAAGAAATGTAGCCTCTGGGCAAAACTGAAAATGGCAGGAGAGAGAGAGAGAGAGAGAGAGAGAGAGAGAGAGAGAGAGAGAGATTGAGAGAGAGAGAGAGAGAGAGAGAGTGAGAGAGAGAGAGAGAGAGAGAGAGAGAGAGAGCGCTTTCTCTGATTTTAGGAACGCAGAAGCTTCAGGGAGGAAATGCAAATCACTGGAGCATTATTCTCTAATTTATTACTAATGGTTCTTAATAATTAAGGGGCAATGCTGGGTCTCCAGTTGGCTGAAATGATCAGAAATTGCTAGCTGCAGTTATACTAACTAAATATAATTTGACACAAAATAACCATCCCAGATATACAGCTTTCCGCACAGTCTCTCATTGCAAAGGAAAAACTAAGCCATAACATCAATAAATAGAATAATCCAATTAAGTGTCTTTCCATTTGGGAACTATTTAGAATTGAGAGCTTATCAGGATAGTGAGATAGGCCAAAACAATTCAGTGTTTACCGACTCAAAACATCAGGACTTTTATTGTAAGAAAATTTTTTTGTTATTTTAAAATAAGTGTTTAATCAGTCTGAATGGCTCTGTAGTGATCTTCATCACTGTAATTGTTCCTAGATATAACGCCTAATTTCCCATAAATAGATTTACTTGTAATTTAATATTCAATACAAGCACCTTTTTCTATGCTCAGAGTATGTTTATAAACATACTTTTTTTTTTTTTTTACCATATATAATCATCATCTGTGGTATCTGCCTGCAGGTACAGAAATACACAGGAGGAAATCTGCCCAACAGAGGAACTGGGGCCACCTCATGATCCAATGAATGCACTCTGAGCTGTGAGCCCAAGGACAGCAGGTATTTGATACGTGTTTGTTGAATGAATGAGTTCCCTCAGCTTCATCAGAGAAGGTATTTTCCAAGCATGCGGGTTAATAAAGCCTGGGCTAGTTCCTCCAGGCTGAATTTCCACAGGGAAAGTAGTGGCACGTCTAGCCCTCAAATCAAGGTACAATCACATTCTCCAGGAAAAGCCTCCACTTTTCTCCACTCCCCAGAGAATCCTGTATCACATCCTTTGGCCAGGATACCTTCGGAGATTCTTTCTATTAAAGCAAGGGTTACATGGATGGCCTTCTCTACATACAGAGATGGGACTGACCCCCAGGGGGACTCTGAAGACAAAACTGAAGGACATTTAAGCCATACTTACTGCTGGTGGAGGACATGTGGCTGTAGTCAGACCTGAAACACAAAACCTTAGTATTAGTAGGATTAGACATTATTTTTCTCTGTCCAAGTGATCTCTTCAAAGTTGAATTTTAAAGTCAGTGGTAAGTAGCATTTAACTGGTAAAGAAATGCCACAAATTAAAAACTTTCATGCTGCGGACTGTTTTGTGCAGAATCAAGTTATGTCTGGATTTGAAAGCACAACTTTAAAGGCATTCTAGAAATCCGGGGTCCTTCATATGGGCTCTGTGAGTCTCCCAGATGGGAGACCAGATGGGTCCCGAAACATCTAAATTTACTGGCAAATTTTTGAATGGAAGCTTATTTTCCCGGAGAGAACGCTCAAAGTTTTCAGTAGACTCTCAAAGGGGTTGATGACTCCCACAAAAGGTTAAACCACTGCAAAAGGTTAAACCCTTGAAATGTCAGCACTATCCCTCAGGGAAATGTTTCTTTGCTGATGTAAGCAGAGGCGAGGTGGACCCTGGGGAGAAGGAACCCTGGCTGGGAGGGCTTCCACATTCAAGGCCTGGCTGACCATCAGGTAACACACAAGCACAATGATGGTTGATTTCAGTTCCATCTAGGAAGAAATCCTGCTAGATATTAGAGTAACAGGATGTGGGCCGTGATCTGGAAAGGGAAAAAGCAGGGTTAGGGCCAGGGTGAAATAAGCCATCAGTTTGTATGCTGAAAAATCAGCTGCTGGCATTTGGCCTCTGTGAGAATGGGAATGTGGCCAAGAACTTGTCTGCTTAATCTCTGCTAAGCTTCTGCTCTACTTGTGTGGCTCTTAAACCGTCCCTCTCTGGCAACGTACATGGTATAGAAGCTATTGGTTTTCTCCCCACAGTGCCCCCAAGTCATTCTTGGTAGGAAATTAAGCTCTCAGGCATGGAGGAGTTTATTCTACCAAGGTGGCAGTTAGGGGACATAGTTATGCAAATAAAGTGGTTAATTATGTTTAATTTTATAGATATACACTCCTTTTATTTACTTAGTCTCACGCTGCCTTTCTTGAATCATCCAATTTTTACTCCATTGAGTTTCTTACCACATTAAAAGGATATATACAAAACTTTTTTAAAAAGTCATAAAAAGCATGCCTCTCACTAATTCAAACAACCTACATCTCCCACACAAGATGATGCACTGACTTATTGCTAGAGGAGCAAAATGGAAGAAAAACAGCATGTGATTTTCTCTTTTCAAATGAAATACTTTAGTTGTCACAGAGTCACTGAATTTCAAAACTGGAAAGAATAACAACTACTAACATTTGCATATCCCTTTATATACTACAAACTGCATCCACTGAGATCTCATCCAGTTTTTTATATCATTGATTAGGAAACTAAAGTGATAGTATCTGTAAGGAGACCAGGAGGTGAGGCTTGAACTAGGCAGGTAGAGCGGTGGTAAGGAAGGAGTTAGAAGGGAGAAGGGATTGGATAGAGCCCGGAGACATGCTGGCAAAGGGAAAAGGGAGAGGAGATGGAGGGAGAGAAAATGAGAAAGGAGAGTCAGGGACCAGGCACATTCTGAAATGCAGGATTTGTAACCCCAGTGTTGGTGCGTTAAATACTTTCCGGAACCAGGCAGGGCATAAATAAACTTTCGGACAATACTTAGAAATGTAACTGTACATATACGCAATGAATACTCAACCAACATTCACTGTGGGAGATGCAACAGCCAAACAATTCCATTACAATACGATCATCTTAAGATGGCCAGGCTTCAAAGAAATTGCATGACAATTCCAATAAAACATTCAGTAAGAATGTGCAATCGTATTTATTTTATTTTTAAAATTCTGTCAGTATTTTCAGCTAGGATCTTCCAAATGCTCTTGAAGCATATGGGTTTCGCATATGCATACATTTTAAAGATCTGCATACAGATGGATACCTATGTAGAATGAAATTTACATTCGAAACATATTCCAAGAATCTTAAAGTGCAACGGGGGTATTTTAGGGCAGGTGCTGGCATAACGGATGCCCCTGCCATGAATCTCTCCATATTTCTCATGATGAAAGGCACCGCCCAGGTCAGGCCTGCCAAATGGTCGGTCTTCTGTCACTCTCGCCCTGCTCCAATTCCTTTCTCATACAGCAGCCAATCTTTGCAAGGAACAAATCTGATCATGTCCCTCTCTGGATGAAGTTCAAGCTCGACAGTGCACAACAGTGCACCCCTCTTTCTATGACTGATGGCCTCTGCCCAGCTCTGTAGTCTCATCCATCACCCTAACTTCCACCCCTGTCCACCATCAAAACAGAAATCAAACAGAAAGAAAAGTCACCTAAAACTTCACAATACTCTCCAGCCTCTGGTCCTGGTGACGTAATTTGTACTCAGTTGCCATAACGATGGAGATACAATTTTAAACTGCTCTTTTCACTAAACTCCATCATAAAATGCTGCTACATGGTTTCTGTAACTATAATTTTAGATAAGGTGATGTACTATAATTTAGTCAACCATTTCCCTTTTGTTGGCTATATGATTGTTCCCGATTGTTCACTTTTGCAAAGCACGGAGGGATGTGTACTCCCGGCTTTTTTAGGTAGGAGGAAGCAAGCTGTAGGGTACCTGTCTTGGGAATTTTGCTTATTGGTCTCACATCCTAAGAATTTATCCAGCTGGCTCTGAATAAGACATTCAGCTTTGCCAGAACGAAGCATGCAAGGTGAATCCACAAATTTTAGGATGAAAAATTTGTGGACACATGATACAGATGAGCAGAATAATACAAGGATTATATATATTCACATGCCTGACACATATAGTAAACGCATTTTCAAACATTACGTTTATTTAGTATCTGTGCCAATAATGAACAGAAAGTAGGATGTGGTCCCTTGACTGTACTTTAATTATAATTTTTCGTATAGGGATTAAATATAAAGGGGTCTGCACTCAAGATAGTTTACCACCGTCAGCAGCCTACTTGCCAATTTTTATATTTATAGAAAATGGATACCTTCCTAAATTCTCTTTCCCAGGGAAATCCTGGGATAAGAACTGACCTTGGCATTTCTGTAAAACATCAGCTCAGCTCATTGCACCACGTACCTCATCTGTTAACTCCCAGTCCATTGAATTAGATGCCATGGTAATTTAGAGCTATCTAGCTCCACCTTGAACGCAAAGACAATAGAGTACCTAATAGATCATCTTGTCTTCTATGCAACATTTCCCCATCTAAAATTCTTTAAGTCTGTCCCCTTTAAAAATGGATTCTACCTATTCCTTTCCATCCACCTGTTTATAAACTCTAGACCTGTGAATTGTTTGTTATCACTGAAATCACAGTGACGCATCAGTTGGAGTTCACCCAAAGATACAGAGCATGGTATGACCCTATGTTTACAGAAGCTCAGTGACAGCTGCCACAGACGTGGAGATCCATTAATGCCAGGTCAAACTTTTGAATGAAAATAATCCATCAGCTACGGTTATATTTGAAAGACTGGCTTAGAGGCCAAATCTGGGAGACAGCACTAATGCAACACCCATTGGAAAACATTCATCTTAGCTTTTTGTTTGGGTTTACAAAACACTGCCTGTCCCTCTGTTAAGAGACTCTGTTTCTTAAGACAGTTGACCATGGTCAGTAGCCAACTTGCCAGTTTTTTCTAACAGAAAGTACACAGAAGCACAAGGCTTGTTTTCAAGTGGATCCGGAAAGTGGGAGTTTCAAAATGACATTAATCACCGCAGAAGAATGCTAGTTTGCTTTTAGTCTTAGCCTGTATTGCTGGGGGTGTCAGACAGCAAAGGTAGCATTTTGAGCAAAAGAAAATGTCTGAGCAGAAAACAAGAATTAATTACAGACCAAATAGCTCTTTGAAAGGCAACTTCACTAGGCAGGAGGTGTACTGCAGACCCAAGCTGCAATCTAGGCCACTAACTAGTCATGCACCCTCTGAAACCTCCATTTCCTCATCTTCAAAATAAAAATAATTATCAGATTGAGGCATGTGCTGTACTCTTTCAGATGTTCTGAACAGTAAACAAGTTGTTTAAGGCATTTAAAAGCATCAGAGCCTCTACTGTGATGAGTACAAAGAACATATGGTCTTGAGTGCACCTGGAGATGTACATTTTTATTTATATAAAACTCTAAGTTTACCATTTGGAGTGTGTTTCATAAGAAATAATAATGTACAGAGGGTTTACTTATGCCAGGCACTGTTCTCTGGGCTTTAAGTGTACAGACCCATTTAATCCTCACAACCACCCTATGAGGTGAGTACTAGTATTATCGTCATCCCCATCTTAACAAAGGAGAAAGCTGAGGGCAGGGAGAGGGTAAGTAACTGGCTCAAGGTTCCACAATTCCTAGGTGGAGGAGCCAGAATTTGAACCCCAGCAGGCTGCCTCTTTGGACTGTAACTTTCAAAGGGATCAGCACAGTCTGTCTACTGGCAGCGGAATCCACGAAGGTTCGTGGAAGCACTTCTGATACGCTGCTGAAAGGATCGGTCACCAGCTCAAGCAACAGCCGCACATTTTTCCCTTGCTCCTGTGTTCTGTTCACCCCAGCCTAGCAAGAGTCCCTCTCCCCCAAACCTCGATGATCTCAACTACCCACTGTCTCTCTCCGCCTGCCCCCAGGCGGGTGAACACTGCTGCAGGAAAATCAATGGCAAGGTAGACTAGTACCTTCATTTGTAATCACTAATCTTGACTGGGTTCTCACTCACCATCTCCCGGAACAACAGTGTCAAGTCTCCATTCTCCTGGGGGACGGGGGGTGGGGGTGGGGCGCTGCATTTGCACTGAATGGAAACCCATCTTCCCTTCTCTCCCACTGGTTGCAACAGGGATGTCCCTCCTCTTTCCAAAGCCAATCTGTCCACATGACCTGAAGTCCACCTACCTGCACATTTTCAGAAAGCTGACATTACAGATATCCGTTTTTCTCCTACGTAGTTATCATTTCCCATTTACAGAATCCTTTCTATGAGCATTTATTGCCCAATTCATGCCTACGTTCAAGAAATCCTTCCCTCATCCCACTGTCCCCTCCAGCTACTGTCTCTTCTCACCCCTCCCTTTCCCAGACAAAGGGCTCCAGCCACCTCCTATTCCTCACAGTCCTCCACTACTCCTCGGCCTTCTTTTCATCATCTCCCTTTAAAAAGAAGGGAGATGACTTCCTCATCCTGATTTGTTTCTCAACAGCACAGCTGATCTCTTTCCTTCCTTCCCTTGGCTTCTAGGATATCACCTTTTTCCTTTTTTCATTCCACGCCTAATTTTTCTCAGGCTCCTTTATCAGCTCACCCTCCTTTACCTGACATTTAAATGCTGTAGTTTTTCAAGGCTGGTCTTAAATAGTACCTGCTTCCCAGATTTGTTGAAGGATTAAGTGAATAAATGAAACATGTAAGTCTTAGAATGGTACCTGGCACATAGTAAATGCCAGGCTCGTGTCTGCTATGAACTTTAGTTGATCGACTCCACTCCTAGGGTTTCAACTGCCAGTTTTAGGCTGACGGTTCCCAACTGCAGTCCCAACTGCAGTCCTCCTGTCTGACCTCCTCTCTAGGTAGATTACTTGACTGCTGACTCATCATCTTTACTTGGATGTCTCCCAATACTTCAAACGCAGCATGATGAAAATGAAACTCACACCCTGCCCAAACGTGGTTTGGAGGGGATCACAGGCTACTCTGAGAATCTGATGAAAAACAGTATCTTAGAAAACTTCACAAAGCCCATCATTTTGCATGCAACTTAAAGCAATTCATGCACCCCAAATTAAGGCTCCCTGTCTGAGTGGATGTGTCACTTGAGCTGACTCTTGAAAGAAGAGTAGAGTTTCACCTGGCGGACAGGCGTGCCAGGTGGAGAAGGGCCTAGGGGCAAAGAGGGCGGCTTGACACAGGTGAGGAATTGGAAAAAACCCAGCTGATGTGGTTATATGCAGGGTGCAGAGACGAGCCTGCCAAGTGACAAGGCCAGAGAGAGAGGGGTGGGGACCCCATTAACACTGGGGCTTGTAGGCCATGCTAAACTCTTTGTGCTTTATAGATGACAGAACCACTAAAAGTTTGCAAGGCAGAGAGACACGATCTGATTTGCGTTTTTAAAAATAATGATAACAAACATACTGAGCAAGCTTTCTTCATGCTTTCTACACAATCTCGACAGGTAGCTGTATGAAAGCTGGAGAGGGTAAGAGGCGGCAAGCTCTGGAAAAGCAGGGAAACTGTGAACAGTTTTTAAATAAGTAATCTCAACTTTAAGGGATATATGAATATGCAGCAAATACAAGACTGATAAGGATTCACTGAAACTATTTTATTTAAATCCATGCCACTTTACCTTTAGCTTAAGAATGCTACTGAGGCAATAAGAATTCTTCAAACAATTCTGTCCTGTTAACTTACACACTTATGACAGAGACAGAGAGGTGTCAGCATGCTCAGCAAGCCCCTCCCAGGAGCCCTGACAGCTGTCATGCTGTTTGTTGGGATCCTGGGGTGATGACATTCCTGGGTCAGGGCTTTCTCTCCATTTCTCCGAGAGAGCCCTGGCATAAAAGACCTCTTTCAGGTGAGCTCTGCAAATTGAAAACCAATGGACCAGCCAGTGCTTTATTTAACCCAGCTGAAAATGACCTGATTACTTTTGTTTCTTCTACTCATGTTCAGCTAACAGGTGGGGCGGGGGTGGGGGGAAGCCAAGGATCTTCAGTTAAAGTTGATAAATGCCCCACATACAAAGCGTGGGAGAAAGCACAGGAGTTCAGTATTTGGAATCAGGTTACAACACTGGAGTGTAACAGGGTTCTGTAGCGAACCATCAATGATCACAAGTGCGGATAACAGGGAAAGCCCATTGCAGGGTAACTGTTTTGGGGCAGTAAACTCCTGGATTTCGGCTCCAGTGGATAGAGGCTGTAAGGAAGGGCGGGGTTGGGCAGGCAGGGGGTGGGGGCTGCCTAGGGAGCCTTTCTCCGGGTCAGGTGTGACCCTAGGTCTATTCTGGGCCTGGACTCTCTTCCTGTCCTCTCAGGGTTGCCAAATCCTTAGATCTATGTCTAAATCTCCCCAGCCTTCTTGGAATGAGGCTTTCTGTGTTCTGGGCAGCTCCAGCCCTCCCCCTGGGTTACTGCAGATAGGCAAAGACACCCTTTCCTTCTGGGTCGGTACCCGCATCCTGGATGTAGCGCTGACTCTGCACCGGGAAGTCCTCTAGAGACAGGGGCTGGGCGGAAGGCTTTACAATGACGTTCGTCTCCTAAAAGACATTCAGTCTTTTGTCCCACTCAGGAAAACAGTGCTGTTCGGAGAGGATTAATTAGTCTCCAAAGCTTTGGACTAATTGTTTGAGTCCGCCGAAGAGAAGAGGACATTTTAAAAAATATGCAAGGCTAGATCCTAGCACCATCTTCATCCCACCTGTGCCCAAGGCAAGCGGCTCCAGCTGGGACAGGTGCGCTCAGAAGTGAGGAACTTCGGCGGGGCAGTGGAGGAGCTGGGGTGGGGGGGGCGTCTTGGCAAAGCACAAAAAAGCCATAAAATGAAAAACGCCATCCTCTTAGAAGACTTCTCAAAGGCGTTTAGGTCTCACGTGTCCTACCCGCTTTACCTTTTCTCCCCATCCCCAGACCCCCATCCTGGACTCCAGGGGGTTCCGGAGCAACAATAAGAAAGTCCTCGCGGAAGGTGGAAACAAGTGCAAGAGCATCCCTTGTCTCTCTAACGGTGATACCGGGGGACACTGCATTTGCCCGGCACTCCGCATCAGCTCAGTGATGACGGAGAGCAAGAGGGTCTGGGGTGGTGTGGGCTGCGTGGGGTTACTCTGAACCTTGAGTCCTTCCACTTTTCTGCCCTCCAGGGTGGGGCCCGCCCTGACCGGGGCAGCCACGGACCCCGCCGCTCTGCCCCCAGGGCCGGCCCAGCAGAGAGCGGGCTCGCCACAGCCCCTCCGGCTTCCCCAGGGGACCCGGCAGGAGAAACAGTCCCCGCAGCCGCGTCCCGCCGAAGCGACTCCGGCGCGGGGTCCAGGAAGGTCCCGGGCCGGGAGGAGCCGCCGCGCAACTCGGAGAGTGGCCCCCGCCCACTGCCCGGCCCGGTGCGCGCCGCTCACCCTCCGGTCTCTGCGCCCGAGTCCACGCAGTCATCCTCCTCGCCGCTACCCGCCTTGGGGTCCATGGCGCGTTCCCCGCCGCGCTCCGCTCGCGGGCGCCGGCGTGACCCGGGACGCGCTCCCTCCGGGCCGCCCAGCGCAGCCCGGACCAGCCCGAGCTGGCTGGGCTCCCTCTGAGCGTCTCACGGTCCGGGATCCGGCAAACAACTCAGGAGCCAGCCCGCGCCGCGCCCTCTCCTGGCCGCGCCCAGCCAGGCCCCCGGGGCTGCTCCCGCCCCGCCCCTCGCCGCTCGGCCGTGCAAGCGTTTGCGCGCGCAAGAGGGTGAGTGCACGGAGCGCGTGTGCGCGCGGGGGTGTGCACGTGAGCCAGGGTATGTGCGTACGCAAGAGGGCGTGTGCACGCAGTGTGAGCGCGCGCGCGCGGGGGGATGTGTGCAGAATATGTGCGCGCGCAAGAGGGTGTGTGCTCCGGCTGTGAGTCTGTGCGCGAGCTCGCGTGAGCCCGCGTGTTGCGCGCCTATGAATGGTGTGAATGCATGAGTGGGCGAGGTCTGCGTGGTCGTGCGCACTTGTCTTTGTGGTTTGCTGTGGGCAGGTATGTATTTGTAGTGCACGCTTCTGGGTGTCTGCTGACCGCGTGTGATGTGTGAGTGAGCCGTCCCTCCCCCCTGGGCCCACAGTCCCGAATTCAGAATCCTAGGGATTGCCCGGAGGTGCCTCAGCCCCAGCGTCGCGAGTTCCACCAAGAAACCCCAGGCCGCACGGTGAAAGCAAGGAGGAATCAGTTCAACTTCTGGACCAGTTAGAACATCTATAGGTGTTTTGGTACAGTTCCCCCAGAATTGCCAACAGTGAATTCATTATCACCTTTCTTAGCACAGGTCTGAGTGGCTTCCCACCACCAACGTGCCAGTTTACAATTGGTGTCATGCATTCTTTTGCTAGTTTAAAAAAAAAAAAAAAAGCCTTTAAAAATAACTTAAAGACCATTGCAGGCACCTGCATTCAGGGGTTGTTGTTGTAAGGGGATAATGGATGTTTGTAAAGTACCCCACTCAGCACCTGGGGTGAGTTAATGATCACTATTGGAGGGCCTCACCTCCTCTTGGTAGGGTGAGGCTGGATGGAACTTGGGGGCAGGGAGAATCAAAACAGTTTGGATTTAATTCTGACAGCCCTGTCCAAGCCATTGGAAGGCACTCATTTCTTCTTTCTTCTGTTTTAAAGCAAGTTATTTAACCTCTTTGAGCCTTTATTTACTTATCTGTAAGATGGGACTATTGATATCTACCCTATAGCCTGTTGTGAATTTAATGAGATCATACATAAAAATACCTAGCATTGGTCCTGATACATGCTAAGCACTAGTACCAGGCAGCTATCATTACTTTTAAAGCACGAGCTAGCTATAGTCCCAGTCTCAATTTGCAAAGCAGTGACAAGTGGTATCACTGAAGGGGAATCCATTCTTTCCTCTCTCCCTATCCCCTCCCTTCTGTTCTTCCTTCCTACTTACCTAAATGTCACTCCTTTTGATTCTTATCTCAATTAAATTACATAAAAGAGAAATCCAACTAAACAAAAGAAGAATAGACATGCAATCTCATCATCAAGAAAAAACACAGGTAAATATGCCGACCCCAAATCTTAACTGAATTGTCCTTACTGAGCATAAAATTCCGTGCACACGTAACAGAAATGGATATATTATACTCAATTTGTGCTCATTAGCTGAAAGAAAGGAGCATGCCAGTTCAAAGGAGACTCCCGCCACCTCCCACCCCATGTACCAATTCCTAAAAGAAAATTCTCAGATGAGGCAAAAGGAATGTTGTGAGAGATTTAAAGCACAATGTCATTAATGACCATCTTAAATTTATCCATGCAGTCGATAAGTAAATACCAGACAGGAGGCTGAATTCTGGATATACAAATAAGGGAAAACAGCAACAGATAAGATGCCTGCCCTCACGGAGCTTATAATCAGGAGAGGGAGACTTATTAAACAAGTGTATATTAAAATATATATAAAACATCAGTGGAGATGAATGCTATGAAGAAAAGAACAGTGTGCCCTGAGAGAGAATGTAATTCAAGTTGGAATGTCAGGGAACGCTCTCCTGGGAAGGCATATTTAGCTCTCTTCTGCCTCAGGGCCTTTGCACTTGCCGTTTCTTCTCCCTGGAATAATTTTTCCCAGATTTTCTGCAAGGCTCCTACCACATGTCTTTCAGAAGTCTGTTCAAATGGCCCCTCATCAGAGAGCCCTTCCCAACTAAACCTACATCACAGTATCCCTTACCCTGATCTGCTCTTTCTAATAACTCTGCCAGCACGTAACATATGATAGGTTTGTTGACTAATTACCTGTTCTTTTTTCCCCAATCCTATCCATGGAATGCCAGCTCCAGGAGAGCAGGGACTCTGTTTTGTTCACTGCTGTATTCCCAACACCTGGAATAGTCCTTCGAGCAATAAATGTGTGTTGAGTGAATGAAAGGGAAGCAGCCCAGGCGTGGAGGGGGTTAGTGAGGAGAGCTTTCCCAGTGCGGAGACCAGCAAGTGTGTGGCAGGACAGGGCACTGAGCATTTGATTAGAGAGGGAGGGAAGGAAAGCTGGGGGACCAGAAGGACACAAAATGGCAAAGATGATAGTGAGCAGCTCTATATACATGTAACATCTCCCAGAAATCAATAGGTCATTATAGCCTATTTGAAAAGTAGAAGGACAGGGCTTCCCTGGTGGCGCAGTGGTTGAGAGTCCGCCTGCCGATGCAGGCGACACCGGTTCGTGCCCCGGTCCGGGAAGATCACACATGCCGCGGAGTGGCTGGGCCCATGAGCCATGGCCGCTGAGCCTGCGCGTCCGGAGCCTGTGCTCTGCAACAGGAGAGGCCACAACAGTGAGAGGCCCACGTACCGCAAAAAAAAAAAAAGAAAAGTAGAAGGACAAATACAGTGTCCATGAGACCAGGTTAAAGGGAGTGATAAAAGTGGCCAAAAAGGTAAGTCCAATGAACATTCTGCTACCTTGTTATCCTTACAGCCATGAGGGAACCTACCTTTGTCTATTCTGTGTAGGGACAATTCATATTTGTCACCTCATTTAATCCTGCACAAAGGTCTGTGAAATAGGTTTATTTTTCCACTTTACAGTTGAGGAAACTAAAACCCCAGTGAGTTCAAGGCCCTTGCCCCAGGCCACCCAGTGAGTGAGTCGGGGAGCCGGTGACCCATTTAATGTGGATGAGTCCTTGTCATCTGCCAGGAAGGCTCTAGGTGGGCCAGGTACACCCTCAGGAAGGCAACACTAAGAAAAAGAGCAGAGAAGAAACAGTGAAATTAGCATGGCCCTTAGAAAATGAGATGCTGCTTAAATTATTTCAGTCTTTCTCAAATATCCAGAGAAAGGTCAGACCAGACAAAAACCTGGACCGCATCTCAAATGATACATTGATTCAGGTCCCCTCAACTGCAGGGGACACAAGTGTTATTTATTATTGGCACAGCCTCAGATGGTGACTCAGTGATGCATTTAATATGGGGAAAAGAAAATTTTTGAACAGTCTTCACTGTCCCTATGAGCACCCGTATCCAGCTCCCGTGTAAGATTTTGGGTCTTAGGAGCCTCACTTTGTTATTTTTTTGGTAAAAGAGCTGTCAGCGGGTAATCAGCGCAAGGACCTTGTAGTGATCGCAATAGGGTATTTTGCCCATAACCTTTACATGGTTCCTGGGCTCTACTTCCAGCTATTTAATGTTGATCACTTTAACTGTTGACCGGGGTGGGGGCGGGGAATGCAACGCCCTCCCCCTCCCCGCTGTAAGATGTGGGCAGAGGAGTGTCACTGGTCTGCTTAGAATGCCCTGCCTTCCTCCTTAAAGACGTTCCCATCAACGTGTGAATGGGGGGAACACTGAGGTAGGGTGTAATAGGCCAGGAAAAATGAAAGGTGATTTCTGACCAGAATCCGACAGGTCACTAGAGAAACAGGGTAGATCATGAGCTGTTTTAGCTCTCACTACAAGTCAGGCATTGTGGTAGGGGCCTTATGCGCACCATCTCTTTAATCCTCACACAAACCTGTGGGGCTTCCATTGTCCTTAAAATGGGGTTCTTGGCGTAAATCGCAGAGGAAATGTGAAGCCCTCTAGAAACCGCGAAGCATATGATTACAAGATGTCACTGATTTTTTTATCACTTTTTCTCAGACAGATCTGAACACACTCTTGTGTTGTATTTCACCTAGAATACTGTTTCAGCCTCTGTGGATGTTGTAGCATGGAGTGGTGTATTAGAAAACAAGACCATCCGTCTATTTATTTGTTAAGCACTCATTGTGTGCCAGGCATTGGCTGGGTGTCAGGGACACATTGGAACAAGTCAGAGGCAGTGGCTGGCCTCATGGAACTTTTGAGGTAAGGAGAGGGCAATTTATCTTGTTCCAGACCCCACTGGGCAGGGCCAGCCCTCCCACCAAGCTGAGCTTCCTTAGAGGAAGCCCTACCAGGAACCTGACACCATTATTGGAGGAAAAACTCAAAATAATCTGATGGTAAAGAGCTTTGATTTTGCCAGTGAAAGAGATAGATTAGCAATCAAGGAGGCCAAAAGTAATTGGGACAACGCCAAAGGTTTTAAACAATAGAAGGTAAGTAGCTTTAAGATAAGAAATTTAAAGGCTAGAGATTGAACACAGATAAAAATAAAAATCTCCTGGGCATGGGATTTGCTTGGGTTTGAGTTTCAAGTTAGAGGGAAGTTAGGCCACTTCACTGCATGAGTCTAAATCTTCTGGACCATTTGTTGTAAGACCAGCCTGATCTAATACACTAATTTAGGGTATCCAGTAGAGTTTGAGAAGTTTTGTTCATTCAGTTTTATTTAATTCTTTATTTTAAGAAATACATTTCTGGGACTTCCCTGGTGGTCCAGTGTTTAAGACTCCAGGTCTTTGCTGCAGGGGTGCAGGTTTGATCCCTGGTTGGGGAAGTAACCCAGAAATAAAATATTCAGGTTAAAGAGAAACATGAAAAAAAAAATCTCTTTCTTCCAAGCCTCCAG